TTCTTTGAGCTGCCTACAACTGGCTGGAGGTGAACTAGAGGCACCTTAGCAATTTTTTTTGGGGCTGTGTCAGCTCCAGAGCAAAGAAGGAGATAAGAGCAGTCATGGAATGTAGCTCTGGCTTAACATGTCCCTCACTAGACACAAGGGGCATTTCCCATAGACCCATGTCTGCCTCCTTCTCTGGTACTGATTTCAAAAGAATGAACCCCACCTTTCATACTGGGGTTCAAAACCTCAAGGTAAGGGACTGAATTCCAAATTGCATTAAGATAGCTGATATTGTAGGCTGGCTTTTCTCAGGCACCAAGAATGCACCATTCTATTTGGATCAGGGCATGAAACATCATCTGAGGCGGGGAAAGGAAGGTTGTGCATAAATCTGGTGGCCCTTGTGGGTTCAAAACTTGGCTTGGAATTTTTTTATGTCTCTCATTAGCTGACATGGACAAAGCATTGGATGTGGAGATGGTGTTGCTGCTCCTTCCTTCCACAGCCTCTGCCATGGTGCCACCGGGGAGGGATGGATGCATGGGAGATGGATGGATGGATGGATGGATGATGGATGGATGGATGGATGATGGATGGATGGATGGATGGATGGATGGATGGATGGATGTATGGATGGATGGATGGATGGTGGATGATGGATGGATGATGGATGGATGGAGGGATGGATGGATGATGATGGATGATGGATGGATGGATGATGGATGATGGATGGATGGATGGATGGATGGATGGATGGATGGATGATGGATGGATGGATGGATGGATGGAGGATGGATGGATGGATGGATGGATGATGGATGGATGGATGGATGGATGGATGGATGGATGGATGGATGATGGATGATGGATGGATGGATGGATGATGGATGGATGATGGATGGATGGATGGATGATGGATGGATGGATGGATGGATGATGGATGGATGGATGGATGGATGGATGGATGGATGGATGGATGATGGATGGACAGAGGGATGGATGGATGGGAGATGGATGGATGGATGATGGATGATGGATGGATGGATGGATGGATGGATGGATGGATGGATGGATGGATGATGGATGGATGGATGGATGGATGATGGATGGATGGATGGATGGATGGATGGATGGATGGATGGATGGATGATGGATGATGGATGGATGGATGGATGATGGATGGATGGATGATGGATGGATGGATGGATGGATGGATGATGGATGGATGGATGGATGATGGATGGAAGGACAGACAAGGCTACACTGGCTGGCTGATCTGAATAAGAGATCTATTTTGCAGCAGTTGTGCACACAGTGGTAGCTCCCCAAACAAGCTGCTAGCTTGGTACAAAGCACAGCATCACAAAATGTTACCACAGCATGCAGAGCTCAAAAATGGAGTGTGAAGGGCTGGTGGTCTGAAGAGGTGGGAATAATGCAGGAGAATAAAGCAGGTGGGAATAAATCTCTCTTCAGGCTCTGGAGGGAGGCTGGTAACAGCGGGTGCAGGTGGGTTGAAACCTGTAGGGAGGAGCAAGCTGTTCTCTGGTGCCATTCAATTTAGAAAAGCAGCCAGGCTGTGTCTGGCAGAGTGACAAAACTCCTTGTTTCATGACTCATTTCAGGAGAACAGCTTTGGTAAGCAATAATTTTGCTCTTCTGTGATTTTAGAGGGCGTGTACTAAAAAAAAAACAAAACAAAACAAACAAACCCACAATAAAACACAAAAAACCCCCAACAAAACACAAAAAACAAACCAAACACAAAAAAAACCCACCCAAAAACCCCATGAGTTGAGCCCTACTGAGAACAGAGACCACAGAGCTGAGGGCTTAGCTGTGTGCTCTGAGCCAGGAGTGGGGCACACTGCTGCCCATGGTCTCGGGGCACGCCAACCCAGGCAGAAATGGAATTGCCTCAGCAAAACCCAGGCTGGCTGCACACCAGGCTGGCTGTTGTCAAAGCAGGTGGCTAGGAATGCACTGCAGGAATTCGGGCTAAGGATGTCCTCCTCCCCCTCACCTGCTCTGTGACTCATCCCGGTGAGCTCATCCAGGAAAGCAGGAGGATGCTGCCAACCTGCCTGGGTGGAAATGCCACAGCTGCCCCTGGAGATGCTGACCTACCCCTGTGATGCTGCCAGTGGAAGTGGGGAGCTCGAGTTTCACTGTGGTCAGCAGTGCACCGAGCTGGGGGGGAGCCCTTCTGTGGGGTGCCAAGGTGGAAGAGTAGAAATTTTCCCTATTTCCAGCCTTCCCTTTCCTGTTCCTTCAGGCACAACTAAATCAGGCAGGGCAAGGCAGCCAGCATGCACTGGTAATCTTGCTTCATGCCCCTGGAGGGCTCTGAGTGAAGCCATGAGAGCTCCACAGTGGGGCTCTCATGGGCTTTTAGCATCTCTGCAGCAGAGTGATGGGCACACACTGCATGTACTTTCCTCCCACCTCTACTGGGAACGTCCCCAGTATCACCACCTTTCTTTTTGGTGCCATGACAAGCATCCATAGGGATCACTGATACCAAAAGAATGAAAGACTGCCGTGGAAAGCCCTGGCACTCCAAGATGTTTTCAAAGAAAGATTGTTTTCTTTCCACTTCCATCTTGAAAGCAAACGATTTTGAAGCCCAGGAGAGTATCACTAGCCCACCACATAGTTTTTGCTCTTCACTGCTCCCTCCATACACTACTTTTCTTTCTTGGCTGTCTCTGAGTAGCCTAGGAGATGATGAGGAGCTTTAAAAAGGGTAGCTGAGGCTGCAGCCTGGGCTGCTGCTGCCCTCTCCTGGGTCCAGGGTGGCCATGAAACCAAAGAGGTTCCTGCAAGCCTGGGTTCATCTCACCCTTGGCTGATCCTCTTTCACCCTTGCAGGGAGCAGCACTCAGAGGGTGCCAGGCCCAGGCTGGTACAGGGCTGGCCTGGCTGTGCCATTTGAAGGCCTGTTGTCAGATCCCTTCAGGAATCCCAGCACAATTCATGGCAGGACAACGGGTGATCAGCTCGGAAGGGGTACAGATGTGCTGACCCAGTATTGTGGCAGCTCAGGGTTTCTCACCTCCTTGCTGCCTGTTCAGTCCAGGAGGTTTTATTTATATTAGACTAAAAAGCCTTCTAAATAAGAGGCTATGGCTGATTCCTTGTACTGCAGACAAGTTTCCAGCTCTGCCCCTCACCTTGGCTCCATTGCCAGCTGGAACAAAACCTCATATTGCATCTTCTGCTCTGTCCCACCCAGGCTGACCCCTGCCCAGGACCCCCTCCTGGCCAGAGGGAGGCACCAGCCAGGTGAGCACCCAGCCCTTCAATGCAGGAGGGATCTCCTGCTTCTGCAACAAAGTGGGGGCACCCTCCTTCCAAAATCGGAGCCCCTGGGATCCTATTGCTTGCCTCTCTAAAAAGTGGCCAAGAAATCATAGAAAGCTATAATGATTTGGGTTGGAAGAGACCTTAAAGACCATCTAGTTCCACCCTCCTGCCATGGGCAGGGACACCTCCCTCTAGGTAGGTTGCCTGCCTCAGGATTGCAGGTTCCTCAGGTTCTCCAGTCAGAAAAACCTATGTAGGTGACCCATGGCTGGGAGTAGTCCATGTAGGTTCTCAGCTCCTACAGAACACAGACAGTTACTGCCACAGTTAATGATAAGAGGATGACAGAGCCTTCCCTGTAGCTCTGAGAGCCTTTAATTCAGCAATTGGCTCATGGTTTCAGGAGCTACTTAAAGGCTTATTCCGGTGTTAGTGCCTTGTGAGAGGCTGGAGCTCAGTGTTGGAGAGCTCTGAGGTGTTAGTGGAGCCCCAGCTCCCTTCTCAGCGGAGCACAGGAGAAGGTGGGGTCAGTGGTGCCCCTTTTCCTGCAGCCTGCCAGGAGTGGGAGGCTTGGAGTCGGTAATACAGACCCACATCTCCCAGGAAAGTCAGCACAAAGCAGAGAGAAGCCCTGGGAAACGAGTTGTGGCTAAAGCCCTCCTAGCACAGAGTGTCCAGCCCACAGGTGTGAACCATGTTTGGATACCAAAAACCTCTGCAGATGTGCTACCACAAACCCCGTGGTGGCCAGAAGCAGCAGCTGGACATCCACGAGGTGGTGCCAGACCAGTGTGAAGGGAGCTGGGTGTCCTGCACACCCCCAGGTGGGAGTTCCTCACTTTTCCTTACTCACCAGCCCAGATCTTGCGTGCCTGATCTTTTTGGTTGTTGTTCTGTTTTGTTTTGGTGTGGTTATTTTTGGGTCTTTTTCCCTCTGGAGTTGACTCATATTGAAGCTGGCTCCACACATGGAGCCACTCATGTTGCTCCAGGTGTTTAAGAGCCAAATCAACCCACTTAGTGAAAACACTGAGTGTTTGAAGAGCTGGGGAAGAGAGGAGCTGCTGTGGTGTGACCCAGCTCCCTGGTGGAACCAGCTGCCAAGCACAGGCACGAGGCCACCACGGTGGGCAGCAGGACAGGGGCCAGGTGGGAGCTGTGCCTCGGTGCCCGTGGTGGGCCATGCAGCACCTCTGGTCTCAACTTCTGGCCTTGTCAGTCCTGCCAGAAGAGCAGGCTGTGTGGGCAGTAATTCTTCCCCAAAATGCTCTTCCAGGCTGCAGTGGAAAACTCAGCCATGGGCTATTAAATACGGAGCCCCTGAGCCACAAATCCTGCCCCAGTCGGAAGTGCCAGACTATTTATATGCTCCCATGTAAGAGCCAGAGCAGACCCTTGGCTGTCTCTGTTGCTTTTTGAACATTTTCCAGTCCTGCTATATTGCCTCCAGGACAGGGAGAGCAGAAGTGTACTCCATGAATTATGGATGTGTAAAGGGTTTTAATGATCCTCTCCCTTTTACAGGCTCCTCTTTTCCAAATTATTTTTAACCTGTGCCTCTTGGACCATCTGGTAACTCCAAATTCTCATTCCAGGAGGGGATAACTTGGGGCCCATTATAAACACTGTGAAAAGAAGAAAATAGGAAAAAACACATTTGTCCCCATTCAACACTGGCTGCCATTTTATTTTTGCTTCCCCAGTGTCACAGATTGTTGCTCACCCCGAGCTGCTGATGGGCTCTTTACCACAACCACCACACAGAGGTGGAAGCTGTGAGCTGGAGGATTGGAGATGGAGTTGGACACCAGCACCGAGGTTTTTCCCAGCCTGGAGAGCTGAATCCTCCCCAAAATGGTTCTTCATTGTTCACCATCATCTCTGCTCGCTGCTCTTCATCCTCCCCTGTGGCTGGGAGGACTGGGAGGAAGGCAGGAGGCAACTGGTGTGGGAATATGGGAGGAGGGGACCAAGGTGTGAGTCCTGGGGATGGAGCAGTGATAGCCTGAGCCATTCCTGGTTCTGGGGGAGTGGTGGCAGCTGTAGCAGTGCTCCCATCCCATGGCATTTTGAAGAATGTCCGAAGAGGACACATCCCCATGCCTGGAAGCAGCATCTGATGGGGCAGGAGGTGAGAAGGGAGCACACATGCCTCCCCACCTGCTTCCCCTCCATCTCCCCAACTCCTGGCAAACACTCCAGCCCCTGCTCTGCCTGGGAGCTCCTGCCCCATCCCTGGGAGGCTGCAGGCAGGACACTGCACAGCTCTGGCTTGTCCCTCAGCCTCAGGGTGGGGACAAATGGGACCAGGCACCCAAGGCAGCTCCAGCCCCTCTGCATGGAGCATGAGGACAGGGAGGGGTGACACACAGCAGGATCAAATGAGGAGCAAATTCTTGGTGTCCTAAGTAATAAAAAGCAGTGAGGTATCAAACCCTTTAGGGCTTGAACCTTTTTGTCCCACACTGACAAACTGGACAGAAAAACCCCTCTTCCTCACCTCTCCCTTTGGCAAGAGCAGAGTGAGAGACACCCTTGGGGCCCCAGCCCTGCCCACAGTGAGATTTGCAGGGCTGGGCTCAGGGTTGTGGTGTGACAAGATGCTTGATGAAGGCTCTGAAAGGCTTTGCTTGATCTGCTCCTCCTCATCCTCGCTGTCCATAGCTGGTCCCACGTCTCTGCCCCCTGGGCCATCTGCCCGCCGGCCGTGCTGCCGGTGGCCCCGTTTCCCCCGCTCCATCCTGAGCACCAGGACTCAGCCTGCTGAAATCCCCAGCCAGGTGGGATTACCAGGCACTGTCTGGAGCTCCGAGCACCTGGGTTTTGCGGTCTTAGAGGACAGAACTTTGTGGAAAATAAAGATGGGATAGGCTGAGAGTGTAAGATGTCTCCTGAGGCAACAACTGATTTAGCTCCTTGAGGGCTTTGTGCCAGATGAATTGGTTTTGCTGGATGTTTTAGATCCTGCTTTGCCCTGCCTGGGCTGGGAGACAGCCATACTTCCCCATGCAGCTTAATACTTCAGGCATGATGGAAGAGCAGCTTAAGGACCCATTAGAACGTGGCTGGCAGCCAGGAGTGGATCCAGGCGAGCTGGGGTGGGTGTGTAAAAAGCATCATGGCACACTAGGACCTTTCATCTCTCCACTGCCACGTCTAGGGATGGGGTTTGGGGGGGCTGTGAAAATAATCTGGAAGAGAAGATGTGTCAGAGTATCTCCACCAGCATCACACCAAGCCCCTGCATGGGACGGGCTGGGAGCCTGTGGACAGCCTGGCTCGGCCCAGCTAAAATTGAGGCCAGTGGCAGTGGGTGGGCAGTTCTGGGGTGTTTTTTTTTCTCCAGCCTGTCAGGAGAAACACAGACCCCTCAGCTAAATCAACTCTTCACAGGACAGCCCTTGCCTTCCACCCACCTCCTTCATCATTTTGCAAACCCTGAATTTTTCCTGGCCTAGAAATGGAGACAATGAGGGACCACTGCCAGTAGCTTGTGGAGGGGCTGTTCTGAGAGGTCCCCACCAGCCTAAGCCCTGCTTGAGGGCAGGTGCTTGGGTTTCCAGGGGAGTGGAGGACTCACTGAGAAAGCCTGGCAAGAGGAAATATTAAATTGCACCTACGGGGGCAGAAGTCACCCCCATTCCAAATGGATCCCCTCATGGGATGTGGCTTTGTGAAAGCCCTGGCACTATCCACACCCAGGAGCAACAAATCCAGACCTGAGAGGGCAACCTGGGTGATTTGGTCTCAGCTCCAAATACACCATGCTGCAGGCCCCAAATGATGGGCCTGGACCACTACAGACCCCACAGGCACATCCAGGGGCTCCTCCCAGCCCCGGCAGCATCCCACAGCGCAGGCAAAGCAGCAGCCCAGGCAGTCAGGGAGGAACAGGAAGCAAGATCCTTTATTGTACACAGTACAGAATGTAATGCAGCTTTGCAGGAGATACATAGCCCTGCTTGAATAAAGATATTTCAAATCAGTCCTCAGATTAACTCCTTCTGCACTGCAGACCTGCCACACCGAGCAAATGGTTAAAAACCTGTCCCCAGGGTGGGGTTCCCAAAACCAAATGCTCCCCATGGGTACAGGCCACTGCAGCCACCATGGGGAGAGCAACCAAGTCATTGTAGAGTTAATCTTCATACTTCCCAAAAAAAAAAAAAAAAAAAAGAATCAGACCAAAAAAAAAAAAACAACCAAAAAAAACCCCAAAAAAACCAAACAAAAATTCCAACCGAAGCTATCTAAAGAAGAGAAAAAATTCCTATACAGCATTTACAACAAAACATGTAGCCTGGTGCAGGGGAGGCAGGTAAGGATATATGAGTGGTGGAGGAGTGTTAAGAGGTGCAGCGAGGGGTGGGGGGAGCTGGAGGGAAGTGGGGTATTGAGGAAGGGGGGTGGGGGACCCCCCATCCCTGCCCACCTCAGCCTTACAGCCCAGCTCCAAGGCCATGCCGAGCAGGGGGAGCGTAGCTGAGCCAGTATTGGGATTCAGCCCTGGCTCCCCTGGGAAAGAGGACTGGAGCAGTGAAATGGAGCGGACCAGATCCTTCGACAGCCATCCCAGGAAGCCACGGGCATCGAGGGCTCCCCCTGCCACCAGGAAAGCCACAGGGGTGTCCCCAGGGGCTCCAGGGACAGCAGCCGAGCTGCAAAAAATAGCTTTGCCTTAAAATACAAAAAATCTACAAAAATCAGTTTAGAAACCTTTAGTATTTTCCTAAAACATCCCAAAAAAAAAAAAAAATGAGAAACGAAGAGGAAGTTAGTGTCAGGGTCTCCTCCCCCAAAATGCAACCCATGGCCCATAGCCAGAGCTGGGGAGGATGGAGGGCACGGAGAGGATGCAGGAGGTTCTGTGGGAACAACAGGTTATATGGGGAGGGGGCTCAGGAAGAAGGCAGAAGGCTCCTCGGGGTTGGGGTAGGATGCTGCGCACATCAGCCCCGGGGTGCTGGCCCGGGCGGCCCCCCCGCATCCCTCCTCTCTGTGCAAATCAAAGCCCTTTCCACCACACAAGGCAGCGACGCGGATTGTGCTCGATGCAAAGCAGATTGTCGTGACAATTGGCTCGGTAGCCACGCAGCCCAGCCCTGGGGCACTGCCGGGGCCAGGGCCTGGGGAGGACACTGCAACTTTAGGCTCCCGGCGCCCCAAGACATCACACTGATGCACGGCAGGAGGTGCCAGCCACGGGCAGTCCTGTGCACTAGCCCTTGGAAAGGAAGGGTGGGAATTCGGCGGCAACACACGTGGGGCGTTTTAAATTCCTCAAATTTGTGTGTGCACCCATGCTGTTTGTCGTTGGGGTTTGCTTGGTTTTTGTTGGTTTTTTTTTTTTCCCCCTCTTACGGACAGCCAAAACTATTCTTTAGAAAACCGTGTTTGCCCCAGGTGGCTGCGCTAGTGCCAATGGCTCTGCCAGCCGGCCGAGTCAGTAGGCGAAGCCCTCCGCGTAGGGAAGGCTGCCGCAGGGATCCATCTCCAGGAGGAACGCCGGGCTGTCCTCAAAGTGTGTCAGGGGCACTGTCTCCTCCTCGGGCACCGGGCAGTCTGGCTCTGTCTTCAGGAAAGGGCGCTGGTTGTCGGGATAGGCCATGGAAAAGAGGGCATCGGGGTCACAGACGAATTTATAGACGTACCGCTCGCCGGCAACCTGCAGGGAGGAGGGAGGGGGTGAGAGGGGCCCTGAGCATTACCCCTGCCCTGGGGGAGCACCACACACCTCACATGGGACCTAATCCCTCTCCTGCTGCACCCTGGGGCAGCAGGGGACGGTCACACCCTGCTGTGACCTCACCTTCTGCATGATGCCCTTCTCATAGTAGTAGCGCAGGGAGCGGCTGAGCTTGTCGTAGTTCATGGCTGGTCGGTTCTTCTGGATGCCCCAGCGCCGTGCTACCTACGGGGAGAGAGGGGGCAGCCATCAGGGCTCCAGCCAGGGCTGCAACAGGGAGCCTCGGAGGAAATCAGAACTGAAATGCAGGCTAGAGGTTTGTCTGAGGGGGCTGGGGCAGCTGGAGAGAAGGCATCACTGTGGTCTGGGAGTGGTTCCCCGCCGGCCATGATAAATCCTCCGGCTGTGACCACACAGCCACCGCCAGATCAGGGGCCAAATCAAAAGCCATTTCATTAGGCAGAGCCTGCCAAAAAGGCTGCTTCAAAATACCACAATTTCCATGCGTGGCGCAAGAGATATTATGGGTAATTACCCACAATGCGCAGCCCGGCGCTGGCTACAGCTGCTCTCAATTACTCCCCAAGCAGCTCCTTCCTGTGTGTCACCCTCCCCTGGCGCTGTGTGGTTCCAGCACGGAGCTGCTGCTGGAAAACCCAGGGCAAAGGATGGGAGCAGCTTGGGAAGGAGGGAGCCGTGGCAGAGCAACAGAACTCAGCAAGGCACGGCACAGAGGCAACACCACCACAGCTGGTGACCACTGCCAGCTTCGGGAGCCAGCACACGCCGCACCGAGAGGCAGTGGAAGATACTAAAGGCAAACTTCAACAGCTGACTGGAGAGCAGAGATACGTGTCTCGCCTCAAGTGCGAGTGGGAAGGCTCTGCTGTGTGGGAAGGACGCACTCCTGCATCCCCACAGGCACTGCCCAGCTCCAGCAGGACCTCTCATACCTCCTCAGGCTCGATCAGCTTGAACTCCATGCCCCGGCCGGTCCAGGCGATGAAGTGGGCGTTGGCAGGGTCGTCCAGGAGGGTGACCAGGAACTGCCAGAGCTGCAGGGAGCCGCGCCGCTGGTAGGGAGGGCCCTCGCGGTACAGAGTGGGCTCCTGCTTCACTTTACCTGCTCGACAAAGACACCTGGTTCAACAGCCTGGCTCTGCCCGTCTCCCAGGCTGTGTCACCAGCAGGAGATATGTACAAGAACATGGGGCATCCCCGTGCTGAGACACCTGAGCAGGATCAGGCCGTGGGGTGGGAGAGGTGCTGGGGATGGCGCTGCAGGCAGGTAGGTGTCTGTGACAGAGATGGAGCGTGGCAGTGATGCCAAGCTGCCACGTGGGATGATGCTCAGCAGCTCTCAAGAGCACTGTGCCAACACTGCTTGGCTTTATACGCCAGGCACTGCAGATCCCACCACCCCCACATCTTCCTCCATGAGCCCTGGTCCCCTGCAGGCCCCCTCTGGGGCCAGATTCTTACCCTCCAGCCTCTCAGGTACCACGCATGTGTCATCAAAATACAATCGTGTGTCCTTTTCATATGAAAATCCTGCGGGGAAAAGACCTTCGTGAGCATAGGGCCCCTCCACTATACTGGCTGGACCCCAAAAATCCCTGGCTTGGCTGAATCCAGCACACGACCCCATCCACAGCTCTGGGAGCAGACCTATTCCCAGTTACTTCAGTGGCTGAGCACTGTGCAGCTCTGCCCCCCTCACTGCTCCCAAACCTTATTAGCAGCTCTGCATTATCCCAGATTCCATGGCACTGCTGTGTCCTCACAGCACGCTCACAGGGACTGCTGGCTGCTTTTGGGGCTGGTGCCAGCACATGCAGCCCTCATGGGCCCCATGATGCTCTCATGGGCCCCATGATGCTCTCATGGGCCCCATGATGCTCTCATGGGTGTTTTCTGGGTGCCCAGGGAGTGCTGCCTGCCACAAGGGAGGGGTGGGATGGGGTCACGACATGGGGAGAGTGGGGGAGTCACTCACCGTCATGGCTGTTGGGGAAGACATTCCCCCGTAGGTACGAGGACTGGCAGTTAGGCACTTCTGAGGGGGAAATGAAATGACATTAAGGCTGTAAACCCTGTGGGTGCCACCATGGATTTGGCAGCATATTCTTTACCCCCAGCATGGCCTGAAGCAAAGTCTGGGAACCTTCCTCCCCCTCCCCATGCTTCCATGTCCACTACATCCACCCTCAACATCGGGGAAAAGAAACCCAGTATGATTTGGGGTGGCACTGGAATTTAGACTGGAGCAGCTCGAGTTTTCACAGGCCCTACATGAAGGGAGGCACTGCTGCACCTCCCCGACCATCTGCTTGGCTGTGCCACCCTCCATCCCGAGGTTGGGGTATTTTTAGGTCCTAAGGCGATTAGAGGATTTTTTCCGTGATGCTGGTAGGGTCCAGCAGCCAGCAATCACAGCTGGCCCCAGGCCAAAGCCAAGGGGGGACCCACCAGGCGCTGTGGGGCACCCCAGCCTGTGGCCACAGCTCTGACCACACCACTGGCACCAGGTGAACTCCTGCCGTATCCCCTGGTTTCGGAAAAGGAGGACAGAGAGGAAAGAAAAAGGCAAAGCGGTATCCCAGCACCACAGCAGCTCCAGAGTGACACAGCACCCGCTGCCTGAGGCTCAGCCCTGCCCCTGCCATGCTGAAGGCAGAGATGCTCTGCTCTGGAGTGTCACTGGCGGAACCCCACCCTGGCTGTCCCCTGGCTCACACCCACCTGAGTCGATGCAGTAGTCCCGGGGCTCCTGCTTGATGCCCATGGGGGGCTGGAAGCTGTGGCCAGGGGGACCGGGCAGGCCAGGGCCGCCGTGCTCGTAGAGAGGGTCATGGTACTCCTGCTTGAATCCCTGAGGGGGGCGGGGGGCAGCAGGGCCCAGGGGCTCCGACAGCTGCCGGTGGTAGATGGGGCGGCCGTCCCCCGGGACCCCGGCCTGCGGCGGGAAGGGGTGGCAGGGCTCCGACAGCTGCCTCTGAAACCTGCGGGAGAAGGACGTGGCACTAGTGAGCAGCGGGGGTCAGTTCTCCCAAACCAGAACTGCCTGACAGCTGGGTGCCCTCAGCCTGGCTGCTCCCACAGCAGGCCGGGATGGCTCCTCAGAAGCACGGCCACCACAGGGCTCACCCCATGGGGACCCAGCGGGGCGCTGAGAACCCCAGGATGGAACAGCAGGGTAACACATGGGCCGCCACAGTAAAGCACTCTGGCCTTCAGGTATCTGGAAAGGAATGAGAAAAGGAACAAAAACCCACCCCCCAACACTGATATCTCTGCAAACCAGTAAAATTTGTCCCCAGCGTGGGGGGCAGGGGCCAGGGTTGCTGTGCATGGGTGGGCGCTTACGCAAAGCCAAATCCACTCCGCAGCTCCAGCCGGCTGCTAATCCGCCCGCGCAGCCGGGATTAAACCTTGAACTCGGCAGCAGGGAGCACTATTTTGGGCTCGGTGGTGCTGCCACCGCTGCTCTGAGAGCATGGTTCCCGCTGGTGGCGATGGATGAGGGACCATCTCGAGGGGGTGCTGCCACATCCCCTCATCCTCCGGCACCTTGAAAGGTGATCTTGGATCTCCGTGCGGCTCCTCTCAGCCGGCCTTGCACCATTTGGCTTTGTAACCCGAGCTCTCCCAGCTGCCGGGCTGGGATTACTCCATTTCCGAGCCATGTCCCTCTGCCCTTCCTGAATGAAACCCAAGCCCCGTGCTGGCACAGTGCTTCCCAAGGGGTCGCAGCCAGCCCCCTGCACAGCCTGAAGGTCACACGGAGCCCCGCTTTGCCGGGGAGGGATGCTTGCCTGCTGTGGGCACGTTCCAAGGGCTTCCCTTGGCCCCGCTGCATGGCCTTTGCCAGGCTGCCACATCGTGTCCCATGCCCACAGGGGTGACACGGTGGCTGTCACAGCAAAGGACATCCAGAGGCCACAAGCAGAGCACCTACTGAAAGTACCCATAGGAGCCAACCCAGGGTGAGGGAAGGGACTGGCAGAGCCTCCAGGGACGTGGGAGTGATGGGGAGTGAAGCCACCACCTGGAGAGGAAGGAGGGAACAGGGGTCTCACACTGCAGTCCACAAAGTCGTGGTGATGCCATGCAGTGCATGGGGAGCTCTGGACCACCCCCAGCCCGGGGTGCACGGCAGGACAGAGATGGTCACAGCTCCAGAGCCCAACGGGGCTTGGCTCGGGAGGCAGAGCTGCGCTGGGTGGGAATGAGGAGAGCAGAGCCCTGACTCAGGACCAGCACCTGTAGGAACTGGGGTGG